AAAGAAGAGGGTGGAAGAAGCAGATATTTAGGAAGCTGTGAAAAGATTCTGGAGTTGGTAATATTGGAGCAGGAAGTCCAGTCTAGAGGGATGGACATTTCCTGTAGGAAAAGCATTACTAACTTTCACTAGAGATAGCTGGGGTTTCAGGGAAGGAAGTTTGGTTTTGAGAAGGAAGGAGGAGCTGAGATAACCTTCAATTTTTGACTGGCAGCACCAAATTAATATGGATGATACAAATAGTCTTGGGGAACAAGAGCATCACAGACATACCCACATATACACATGGTGTTAGCTTTGGGCATTTATAAATTGGTTTGTTTCGTTCAGCATTCTCTATGAACTTTTAATTCAATTCAACAAATATTGACTGACTTTATGTTTCACGTTAGGTACTGTGTTGGGCCCTGGAATGGAGCCAGAGGATCAAAAGATAATAGATTATTTTGTCTTTAGAAAGCCTTTCCCTTCCTTATTTGGTATGGATCAGGCTGCCATATGACCAAGCTTATTAGTACTGTGGAGATAACAAAGTCCATGAGGCTTAGAGTGAGCACTTCAGGGCATCTTTTTGGAGTCTTGCAGATCATATCCATCTCAATATCAAAAATAACTGACTTGGTGTCAGCACATGAGACTCATTTTTAATGTAAAAAAATACAATCATTGGAAGTATGGAGTATGGGATTTAATTCACTGGCTTAGTGATGTCCTGTGTAGATGGCCCCAAATATCTTAATCAAATACAGGATGTTTAAAGTTTAAGATTCCTAAGACTTTGTCATAATTTTTAGAGCTGGAGGGGCCCCTTCCTTTGTATTCCCACAGTCTCTCGTGTGTTTTTCTTCATAGCATTCAAACCATAGTAATTTTAATTCTTTGTGTGTCTTTACCATTAAACCATGAGGGCTTTGAAGTTAGCCACTGGGTCTTGTTCATTCCCTTTCTTTACTTTTAGACAGCACATGGGCAGGAGTAAGAAGTTCAATGAATGTTTATTGAACTTATTAATCCTTCAAAAATATATCTTCTGCCCCTTCATTTTGCAGAATGGGGAAATTAAGGCTTAGAAAGTAGAATCACTTGTGCAAGTTCAAATAGGAAAGCAACAATAGAGTCAGGAATAAATCCTACTTTATTTTGATTGCTTAACATTTTTGTGGCTGTTTTCTCCTCCTGACCAACTTGGTTTGCTAACTAATTAGCTAGAAGTTGGAAGCATTTACAAGTTCTGGAAATGTAAACCTTTGTTATGAAAACCAATGACCGTGCAAACGGAGCCCTTGTATTATAGTAGATTTATTTTTTAGGTCCCTCTACTTCCTCATAAGCCAGTAGTCAATAATGCCCCCAGTGAAAGGTTCTGTTTTCCTCTAAGAAAACACCCACACACGCACACACGCACACAAGCATGCACACACACACACACACACACACACACAAGTACATGACTCAAAGCTGAGCAGCTGAAAAAGTATTTTGGGGGTGAAATTTTAGCATTTAACTGTGTCCTAGAAGGTCAGGGGTGCAAGGATTCCAATGGATTTTCATTAAGTTCCTCCCTTCTTCGTGTTGATGTGTAAACAGGGATAGGAAACCCACCTTAGAGGGTGATTTTGAGCATTAACTGGAGGAATAGAGTAGTTTCATCACAAAGTGACTCTATCACCTTGAACCAGCCAGCTAGCCTCTCCTGGCCACTGTATCTGCATCTGTAAGTGGATAGATTAGATGATTTGCAGACAGTCTTGTGAAGCTGGAACATTTTACGATTCTCCTCCCTTGGGATCTAATTGGACTCTGGATGGAGTGTTGCAAGGGCTGAGACGTAAGGAAAGAGTGATCCTGCACTGACACAATGCTGGCTTCTGCAGCTTTGCAAGGGCTCCCTGTTTGATGTCAGCCTTTTATCAGAGCGTGTTTGTGCTCTATCCAGGGTTTGCCTGGCCATTGCACCAGTCCCCATTCTGTTCCTCAGGGTTCTGGGAAAGAGCCAGTGGAGACTCACAGGCAGGATTTCTTCCCAAGAGCTGCCTGGATGGTGAAATTCACAAAGTCCAGAGAGATTTCCTGTTTTGTTTTGTTTTCCACAAGCCCAAGCGCCTATCGATTACAAAAACCACATACAACATGTGCGTGCACGCACACACACACACTCTCACACACACATACACACACACACACACACACACACACGCAAAAACAAAAACACATACACACACAAGACAGGATGTTCCCTCTCCATTGCTGGAGCCCAACACAACCTCACCATCTGTGTCACTTTTCCTGGATTTCGCCATTATGGTAATTAAGACCTTAGCACCGGCTGGAGATGTTGCTGAATCTTAAGCTCTGCGCAGTTATACACATTCGTTTCACTAAGGGGGAACCTACAAATGAGGGAGAAAATGTCCGACATTCAGCATAACCTCATGCCATACCATCTGGTTTCTGTCCTCAAGAGAGTGTCTCCCTCTGGTGCTGGTAGGAGAAGGGACTTTGTTCCCAGCATAGATTCTGGCACATAGTAGGAACAGAGTTCTTATTGTGTGTTTAACTTTGTCTCAGACACTTTATATGCAAACATTTCATGGAATAAGCTTATACCAAAAATAAATGTCTAAAGTTTGAATTTAATTGAGTACCCTATATTTTTTATTTACTGAATCTGGCCACCATACTTGACTTAACCCAGTGCTCTGAATGGTTGAAAGTAAAAGACCTGTACTTGGGAAAAACAGAGATCTTGTCTGGTATGATGCTTCCACCATTTTCTTGCTGTGTGATCTTGGGAAAATTGCTTCACTACTCTGATTCTTATTTTCCTCATCTGTAAATGAGGCTCATATTTGTCTCTCAGGACTTTTAAGGAGATTATATTTTTTTAAATTCACTTAAAGTACTTTGAACTGCCTAACTGGGTGCCACATGGTCATTAGATTTACTATAATTCTTTTTCATTTCTGTGGGTTCTATACTTTTCTCAGGTGAAATTAGATAATGTGTTCATCCCCAGGAGGAGATATGTGTAAGAACATGTGGTATGAATAATTGGAATCTTCTTGTCAAAACCTCTGGGAAAAATGTGATGGAGACTTATTCAATAACATTCTTGATACACGCATTGTACTTCTTGATTTGCATCCTGGGTAGTTATGAAGGGAGACTCCAGACCACATTAGACACATTCTGCACTTGAGTCCCCTGAATAATGCAAGATGGAAAAAGTGACATATGGGTTATCAGGTGTCCTCAGTGATAGATAGAATACAACTTTCATTGAAAAAGGACACAAAAAGTGAAAAATACAGAAGAAAATGAAAGAAAGTACAAAACACAAAACACACACCTTGCAAGGAGATCCACGTTCTTTGGAATTCTTTAATGAGAGCTTTAATGAGAGCTGTCACAAATTCTGAGTATAGGATTCAATGAATCACATGATATGTTCAACACTATTATAAAATAGGCTTTGTGTTAAATATTTCTGCCCAGCTGTAGGCTAAGGTAAATGTTTTGAGAAGTTTAAGGTAGGCCTAGCTAAGCTATGGTGTTCAGTAGGTTAGACATGGCAAGTGCATTTGCAACTTATGTTGGGTTTATCAGGCCATAATCTCATGGAAAGCCAAGGAGCATCTGTAATTAGACAGCGTGTGCTTTCTATGCTGTGATGGTCATAGCACATTACACTCTTGAGAGACAGACAGCGCCTAGCCATCCAAAGACTCGTGCCACTCCGTGCCAAACAGCCACCTGCCACCTGTTGAGCACTGTGGTTCACTCACCTGCTTTGGTCCTCTTTCTTTCTGTGGACAATGCCAAGACTTTCCTCTCATTGTCCTAGCTATACCACTGTTAGGATGATGAGGCCAAACACTGCTTTGCCAATATCTGTGATGCCCAGTTTCTGTGTTCCTATGAATACCTGGGAAATACACCTCACCTAGTGAAAGAAAGTCAGGGTGGGTTTCCCAGAGAATGAGATGTTTCATTTGAGACCAAAAGAGTGAGTTGGAGTACAAGAAGGGGAATATTCCTGGCAGAGGACAGGATATTAAAAAAAAAAAGACAGTGAAGAATATTGGAAAATTAAATAGAACATTTATCATCCTTTAGAACAAAGGTCAGCAAAACATGGCCATCAGACCCCAAATGGCCTGCAGCTTATCTTTGTAATTAAAATTTTATTGGAACACAGCTATGTCTGTTTATTTAAATTATTGTCTATATCATTGTCAAGCTATAAAGGCAGGGTTAAGTAATTGTGGCAGAGACCACCTGGCCATAAGCTGAATGTATTTATCCTGTGGCCCTTAATAGAAACAGTTTGTTGTCTCCTATTTAGACAGAAACTCACTGTGGGTGGAAATGTTAGTGGTTGCATGAGAGTGGATAGTACTGTGTCAAAAAAGGTCAGAAGAGTGGTGAGAGATGAGACTTGGGAGGTGACCAGGAGCTAAAACAAGGAGTTGAGACTGAATCTTGAGGACTGTGGGAGGCTTCTGTAGGGCTTGAAGCAAGGCAGTGACTTTGGTGGGATGCACTGGAGCAAGGTATTTTAGAGGGCAAGTCCTGGAGTCAGACTGCCTTGCAGGATCCAAGCTCTGTCCCATACTGGCTGTGAACTTCAAGCAAGTTACTTACTTTCTGTGTGCCTCAGTGTTCCAGTTTGTCTGGTGGGAAATGATCATGGTATCTCTCATGTGGGGTTACTGTGAAGGTGGCATAAGTTAATGTAGATGGAGTTTCAGGATCAGGGAAGGTTCTCTCAGTGGATCCTGTTAGGATGGTGTCTCCATGATCATTCTGGCCCTTGGATAAGGAATTGCTTAGGAAGGGAGAATCTTGTGGTAGAATACTAGAGATTTAAGTAAAGAGGGCGTCCTGGGCCTAGGGAGACTGCTCCAAATCCCTCGAAGCTGCCATCACAGCCATGGGCATCTTGACCTTAGTCTCTGCACCATCGTCATTATCATCTCTTCTGTCATCCTTTCTTCCAGGCTTTCAAGAGTGCACTGATGAGTTCCTACTGGTGCTCAGGGAAAGGGGACGTGATCGATGACTGGTGCAGGTGTGACCTCAGTGCCTTTGATGCCAGTGGGCTCCCCAGCTGCAGCCCCCTTCCGCAGCCGGTGTACGTATGTATGGCCCCCCTTCCTTTGGCCACTCCTTTCCTGGACTTACTCTGACCTAGACAGCCTGGGATATCTTGGCTCTGTTCCAAGGTGCCTAACCAGATCCCTGAAGTCCCCAGGGATCTTGGGAAAGAAGGGACCTTTGGCAGAATGGAGGCATGGTACAGGGGTAGATGCTGATATCTAAGTGCATGTTATTTCTCTCTCTCTCTCTCTCTCTCTCTCTCTCTCTCTCTCTTTTTTTTGGTATTGGATATGGAACCTGAGGACACTTTATTGCTGAGCTACATCCCAGTCCTTTTAATTTTTATTATTTTAGTTTTGAGACAGAGTCTTTCTGAGTTGCTAAGGACCTCACTAAGCTGCTGAGGCCAGTCACAAACTTGTGATCCTCCTGCCTCTGCCTCCCTAGTCTATCAGATTACAGGCACGCACCACCACACCCGGCAGTGTGTGCTGTTTTAAATGAAGCTGTTTAGACCATAATTCCTTGCTTCACTCAGCTACTCAGCAAAGGTTTGCTGGGCCACTGACGACTGTTTTGTAGTACTACTGTTTTGTCCGTTCCTATTTTGAGCACCGGGGCTACTGAGATAAAGAAAATGTGGAACCTCTCCTAAGGAACTTCATTTTATTAATTTGTTCATCATATAATTCTGAATACCTGCTTTGTGCTGGGTACTGGGGAAAAAAAACCACATCAATGGACAAGAGAGGCACAGTCTGTACATTTGTGGAGGGAGCATTTTTAGTGGAGGAGACAGATACCAAAGGAAAATATGATTTATTTAGAAATTTTTTAAGTAAGAAAACACAAAGAGAGTAATGGGGGAGTAATGGGGGTAGACTTTAAGTGGAAGGGAGGAGGAATAGACAGGAAAACCTCTCTGAAGAGGCCTGAATTATAGTAGGGGTCAACCTGGCTGTTAACAGGCAGCAAGAATCACCGTTTAGGCAGAAGGAATGGTGTATGTGAAGGCCCTGACACAGGAACTTCACCTGGGGAAGCAGAAGCAGGTCATCCTGATTGGAAGAGTATGATTACAAATTTGTGTGAAAAACAACGAAGTGGGTGGGAGCCCATAACATGAAGCAGAGTCCCATGATGCACTTTTGCAGGATGAGAAGAATCATATTCCAAGACAGTCCTTGAAGAGATGGTGTGAGATGGTGTGAAAAAGAAAGAATCTGGGCTGGGGAGGAGCAGGGTTACCATTATGATCCTGTCTCCAACTTGCTGTGTGAATTTGTGCAAGACTTTTCCCCTTTTGGGGGCCTTATTTCCCCCATTTTGTGAAATGAGGGAATTATAGACTTTATTATCTCCAAGGATCAATCCAGTTATAACCTTCAGTCATTTTTTTATTGCTTTACTAGAGGATTCATTCCAGGATTCAGGCTCTTTTTGAGAGAATTTTAAGTACTAAGTCTCCTTTTGAGAGAGTTAAGGATATTGGACAGTTGACTAAGACATTGTGGAATTGAAGGGAATGGCAGAAAGATTGAAAGCTCCCAGGTTTGAAGTCACTGCTAATTTATTAGAAAATGAGCATCGCTGAGAATATAGTTTAAATAAATGGAAAACTAATCCATTTTCTTTGAGCAAAATAGAGTATTCATGGATTAATTTGTTAAATTCCACATGGATCTTAAAATGCAGCTCTTTGTATCCCTTTCATGGATGAGAAAATAGAGACCTCAAGAAGTGAAATAATTTGTCTAGGGCAGTGCAAGGTTTTGGTGGTGGATAGAATGAGGATCTGAATCTAAGCTGAAACTTTTGCTTCATCTGGACACATGCAGACTCTTGGACCCCAGCTAATGTTGGCTAGAAAACAAGGAACCTTTCCTGTCATTTCCTGTAGGCTGCGGCTGTCCCCAACAGTGGAGCCCTCCAGCACTGTGGTCTCCTTGGAGTGGGTGGATGTTCAGCCAGCTATTGGGACCAAAGTCTCGGACTATATTCTGCAGCACAAGAAAGTGGATGAATACACAGACACCGATCTTTATACAGGTAAGTTTGTGATTTCCCATTTCATTGGACTAGTATGAAAATGAAGGGAAACTTGATTTTCTAATGTCTTTGGGGACTTGGTATGATTTGGCTTGGGAAAGCATTAAGAAATTTCCTTGTTTGCTGATTTTTCTGTTGCCCATCGATATATGATTTGTTTTGTATGATTTTGAACAAGGTAAGATAGCAAGTAGTCATTGGAAAGTGTTTCCCTGGGTAGGACCTTCAAAAACATATATGAAAAGGACTAGTTGATTCTGAAGAGGATTTGGCCTTTCTTTTTTTTTGGGAAGGCTTATAGGTCTCATGTTTGAAAACTTTGGTCTGTAAATATATTATTCAAAGATATTCAAAGAATAATATGATGGTTCTTCATGAACTGTACTTTGAGAAAGTAAGAATTAGAAATGATCTGAGTATGCAGGATCATTTACAAAACATCGCTTTTCAGAAGTCTGTATTTGCTTGTAACTCAGAATTTTCTGTTTCCTTTGAGTTCTTCTAAATTCCTGACACTGCCAAGAAACTAAGCATTCACCTGTGATCTGTATTGGAGGCTTATATTTCCTGCTCTCTGTTGCAACTTCCATTGAGTAATTATTCTTTTCCAGCCAGAAAACTTTAATTGAGAATGTACTTCTGTACCAGGACCTGAACTAAGTACTTTGTTCAGTGTCTCACTGAGTCCTCTCAACTTTAAGAGGCTTGGTGCTTATTGAGCACATTTTAAGGATCAAGAAACTGAGACTTACCCAAGGCTGTCCATCTAGAAATAACTCCTTAAGTTCACAGTTTTAATCCTGAACCATGACTGGGTTATTAAAAGAATTTAAAAGTATTCTTGCTTTATTCATTGCCCAGTTAGAATATAAGCACAAGGAGGAAAAAAATGACTTGTCTGTTTTAAACCAGGTTGAATTCCCGACACCTGCATCAACTCTGGCATTCAAATATTTGTTGAATGAATGAATAATGAATGAGTGAAAGAACCTTCCTTTATTGTTTCCTTTTCTTTTTGTCGCTCTGCACCTTTTGTTTTTTTCAATCTTTCTCACTTTCCTCTCTGAGCTATTTTTGCTTTGCTTTCTCTGAAATTGAGAAGAAACTACTACAGCGAGGTTGTGGGTATGAAATAGGTCATAAAGGTGCAGGTTATGGAGGATGTACGAAGCCACATTGGCTAGTGTTGGGATACTGGGATGGATGTGGCCTGTTTGATGATGTTGACTGGAGGGGTAGAGTGGGCTGGAGGAGGTGTCACTTTCTCTGAGGAGCTAGTCGTGGAACAATCATTGGGCAACCTGTTTTTGCTTCCTTAGTTTTTTTCTATCTTTTGATTCCATGTATGTGTTGCTTTTGTGTGTTTATTCAAGACTATGTGAGCATGTGCATATGTAAGTTTAAGGTATGTGTATTTGTGTTCATTGGCTTGCACTTTTATTTTTATGTGGTTGAGATTTGCCAGTATCTGTGAATGGGTGAGTGTGTATTTTATGTGTGTGTGTGTGTCTACCTGTGTAAAATGCTACTTTATAATAGCAGATACTTGTAGACCACAGATACCAAGAGACATGAAAGTTATCTGATGGTGGGTTGATACATGTAGATGTTCTACATCTCTATAGCATGCTTCTCTTTTCAGAATTAAAAAACAACAATAACAACAAAAA